TCCTGCAGTTCTGTAATTAAAACACAGAATGAGTGTGTTCCAAAATCCAGCAAAACACATCATGCACAATGTGTGGTACAATGGTGGTATGGAAGTGTTGTTGACAATAAATGTTTTTAATGGTAAGTAAGTGACTAATGAAGCAAGGAGGACTGTCATGGGATTTTTTTAAAAGAGCTTGATAAACTGCAACCATTCATTTAAAGAGTCTGTTTGCATCTTTAGGTGGCTAAATTCTTGAGCAGAAGTGGTGAAAAAAGGAAAACAGCAAGCTGTAAATAAGAACTTTATTTGATTTCTTGCAGCTGTTGCTTTTAAGAATGCGAAGCAGTTTGACCAGGCAAGAGAAGCCTGTTTACGGGAAGCTGAGGCACATGAAAACAATAAAGCGTATCTTTTCACTGATTGTTATTTTTTTTTTCCAAGAAGCTGACTAGTTGCTACTTAGAATCGGGTAATGGGGGTTGGTAGAAGGTGTATTTAATATATTTGCAGATTCTGTCAATCTAATGAAATGGTCTTTTAAAATCATACTGTTCCTGTGTGCTCTGAGTGGGAAAACTACATAACTCTTCTGATTAGAAAATCTGTGTTATTTCCAATAACAGCTGGAATGATAAGGTACTGACCAGTGCCTGAGATGTCTAGGTATTGCTTCAGAAATTATTGTTTGTTTGTTTTTTTTCAATTCCTACGAAAGGGTAGTATAAACTAAAAGTAACACTGACATTATTACAGTGTTTGAAGTAGTATTTAGTAACCAGAAACATATTTTAAATAAATGTGCTTTTTACAATTTTACATGCAGTTATACTTTGGTATGTTGCATTTATTCTGTCCTTAGAAGCATTTATTTTTGACACCTTGCATACAAGTGTAGCTGGTTTGATTTGCCTTTATGGGATTCCTGGCTTTGAAACTAGTACTTGTGTAAGATTTTGTACGCTAATTTTTTTTCTGCATTATGTTTTTGTGGCTTTTGTCCTTGACTTTGACAATGTTACTTCCAGTCTCTTCCATGCTGCCAAGTAAGTACAGAAGCACTGAGTAATCTGAAACAAATTTTCTAACATATGATACAAGCATGAACTAAATGGTACTAAATGGTATGGTTCTAATGATTTTGCTGTTTCCAAATCAATTTAATGTAAGTACAGGCTAGGAAAGTCTGAAAACCTGCAAAGCCCATCTGAAGAAATCATGATTTTGACATTCTTCAGCACCTTTTCATATCAAGTAATTTTTCTTAGATGAACTTTTTGTAATTTTGAAATTCTACACTGTTGAGCTTATAAAGGAATTTCTAATTAAAGCGTACTTCAAAGCAAGCAGATAATGACAAATAATCCAAATATTGCCTGTGAGTTGGATCATGAGAATAGATTCTTAGTGGGATGTGTAGTTGAAGTACTTCATTTGTGGAAGATAATGTTACACATGCACTGTCTCATTAAATAAAATGCTTGAAACATTTTCAAAGCATTAAGTATTAACAATGAAGTGCTTGCTGATACATGTTAACTTTTGCTGTGTAACTACAGCTTGTTGCAGTACACCATATCTAACTAAATTGTAATTTTTTCCCTGCAGAGCTTACGAACAAGCTGGCATGATGCTAAAGGTACTCTCATTTGCTAGTTTTTATTAAAAAGTTCTGTTTTATAGTGAAGAATATTGTGCACTGAGCCATTTTATGAACATATGTAACCAAATTGCATATTAAAGTAATATTTTTCTGTTGCATTGTAGTCCCCACCAATACCCTCAGTAGGTTAGGGAAGCAACATTTGTAAATGGGGGTTGTGGGGAAATGGTTTCCCTTTTGTAGAAGGAAAAGGTGAGGGCCTCATGTCAGAGAGTAATGGAAGAGTGGTGCTGCTTCTGCTCTAAACTACTACGAATTCATGCATTATCTGAAAGCTTGGCACTTACAAGTGAATTTTATGGTGTTGCTGGTCAGCTTTCACTAGCTCTACAAGTTTCTAAATAAAATTAGAATTTTAATAAATAAGGTATTACAGTTTGCTTTGATTTGTTTCATTGTATGTAAGCACAGTTCCTGACAGCAGCGTCCCTCTGACTATTGCTTTGCAGGAGATGCAGAGACTCCCTGAAGCAGTTCAGCTGATTGAGAAAGCCAGTATGATGTACCTGGAGAACGGGACACCAGATACAGCAGCTATTGCACTGGAACGGGCTGGAAAGTAAGTTTGTGATATTGGTGGCTAGAATGTATGCAGGGCATGGGTATGTCTTTGGTTTTCTTTCTTGTCTTTTTGATGCTTTTAGGTAAAAAATATTTTCATTTCATCTGAAGATAAGTTATTTCTATTTATTACAGGTTAATAGAAAATGTGAGCCCAGAGAAGGCTGTGCAGCTATATCAGCAAGCAGCATCAGTGTTCGAAGTAAGTGGGTTTTTTGTGTTGTTTTGTGTTGGTTTGAGTTTGAGTTTTTTTTCCCACCAGCAAAGAACTTTCCAGTCCCAGAAAGTATACCGAGATGAATCAGTTGGTGTTTAGGGTCAGCTATAAAGTTAAGAAAAAGCCTAAGATTGGGTTCTAAATTGTTTTTCCTTTCTTTCACATCAGTGGTTGAGTAATGAAGCTGAAGGCTCCTTATGCTGTAGAGAAGAGATTTTAAAAGTTGGGAGTCAGTTTGCTTTGCCTTTTTCTGTTTGGGACTTGACTGAATCTGAATTTTGTACGTTGTCAAGTTTTCTGCCTCTTGTTGGGCAGCCTGGAGGGCAGGGAACACAGCTGCTGTTGAGTCCTGGAGCCTAAAATAGTTTCAAATCCTTGAAAGTGTAGAAAAGAAGAGTTTGCTTGATGCTCTGCCCATCCCATGAGCAGATGATTTGTGTTTTTGCTACTGCCTTTGGCATCCTTCTCTATTGTCAGTTGTCGTGTGTCTCCAGATTAGCAAGTTTGCATTGATGTTACTTTGTTCTGTAGATCCATGCAGGAGCTGACTGTGGGACTTGGGTGCACCAGTACTCTTCTTGTTTCCCTTTAGTGTGTGAACAGCTGATACAATAATTAACAGTTGTTCTGAGTTCTAGATGTTATACTTAGATTAAAGTTTAGTGGTCTTCTGTGTAAATGAAATATGAATCCATGAGTTCCTTTTGTTCTGCTCTAGAATGAAGAACGTTTACGGCAAGCATTAGAAATGCTAGGGAAGGCATCAAGACTTTTAGTCAGAGGACGCAGGTATAACTTTATGCATTCTTTTGTTTTTTAAATGAATCTTTAATAGTGATTTTTCTTTTTTTTTCTGTTGTTTGAACATTTTGCTGTTGTTTGGTTTATATACTGTTACTGAATTCTTCTTTGAGATGCACTTCAAACTAAAATTCAGTTTCTGTGAGATATGCCGTATTCATCCAGGAACCACCTGCTTAGCGTTCTGGGATGGGAGAATGTGGGCTCTAATATTTTGTTTCCTTTCTGTTTTTTGAATGGCTGGAAAGCACATATATAGTTTTCATTAATTCTTAAACTACTTCAGGATTTTTTTTATTTTTTTTTCTTCCAGCACTAATATGTAGAAAGTACTTTGTAGCTGGGGAATATAAAACAGGGGAATTAGGTGACTAACCTGAGGAAAGAAACCTGTTTGCAGCAGTCGGATTCTGGGCTTCTTAAAGAGTGTATCTTGGAGTCTCAATGGGAATTTATTTTAATTGTTATTTGCTAGCATGAAACTTGACCTGCAGTTCAGCTTAGACTTGCTTCACCGAAGCATGTAGTTCCTTTAAGAAATTTGGTTTCTGACGCTGCTTTTAAGACACTCTCTTTTACTGCAGAATTATAGTCAGGAAAGGAAACTGACAGTAACTTGAAAGTCTTTCTGTGAAATCAAGTCAGCATAGCTTCAGAACATCTGAAAGACTTGGTTGCGCTGCTGCTTTATAGCTCATGTGCTATTGCTAGTTTCTAGAAGTTTAATGTGATGATTAAAAGAGTATTGAAAATCAAAAACAGTTTCTATGACTTCATATTGATAGTTCATGGATATCAGGCTTGTAGTAACATGACATACAGAAATCTATTAGGGTACATAACAAGGCATTCATCTTGTACAATGTTATGAAAAATGAGGCTTTTCTGAATGAATACCAGAGATGTTCTTTGCCTGCATGTGTACAAAAGGAATTGCTGACTATATGCTTCTGTATCTACTTGTTAGTAAGATCTACTGCTGATTTTCAGTTGTGTTGCTTTTTATTCCAGTAGACTTGCCAGTATATTAATTAAACCATTTGTAATTAGCCTCAGGTTCATTACGCTGTATTCCTGGCACTGATACTCCTAACTGTTTTTTGTTTTTTAGATTAGATGAGGCTGCATTGTCACTTCAAAAGGAAAAAAGTATTTATAAGGAAATTGAAAATTACCCAACATGCTATAAGGTAAATTCTAAGAGACAATTTCTCATAGTGCATTTCAAGTCTTTCTGGGTAGCTAATGACAGCTGACGTCTGACTGACAATAGGTACTTCTTGATGCAGGGATATGTTTCTTGCTAAATGATGAGAATTTGTGGTATTGCGTGTTTCCCCAGCCTCTAACTGTGCTTTTTTCACTACTATATGTTGAAGATATGATGCTGTTATCTACAGGAGCTGTCAAAACCAACAAACACATGAAAAATAAAGATGTTATAAAAAATAACGAACCACAAAAACTGTTACTTGGTGCAACAGTTCATTACAGTGTTATGGGAGATAATCTATTTCATACCAGCTGAGGATATGGCTTAATCTATTTCATACCAGCTGAGGATATGGCTTACTACTTTTTCATTATGTTCTGACTCTCTCGTGTCAGTCTCTTGGAATCATTGTGGATCGTAATGACCTTTTTCACAGTAATTATTAGCAGTCTAGTATTTTTCTCATATTTTACTGTTAATGTCTAAGGAATCATTATGTTGAGGGTTTTTTGTTTGTTTTTGTTTAGAAAACTATTGCTCAAGTCTTAGTTCACCTTCACAGAAATGATTACGTTGCTGCAGAAAGATGTGTGAGGGAAAGCTATAGGTAAGCCTACTTCATGTCCTATGATTTTAAACTGAATGTTTCATTGATGTAGGTCTGTTCTTGTGAAAGAGCAATGGAAACATTGTCAGGAAATTTTAAGCCTGTACTTTTCTTGACTTAGAGTACAATAATAGCATTCCCTGGTATATGGCTATCAGGAGTTTTTTTCACTCTGAACAGATTTAGCTGTAATTGCCATGGTCATTCTTCTTAATGAACCTAAAATAAAAAAATTAGTCATAAAGCAGTAGTGGTATGTGACAGGTGAAATAAGATGGAAATTAGTTCTTCCTGTTTTTTTTCTTTGTTAAAAACTGAGCAGAATATTGTTACAGCTGGGATTCTTGCCTTACTGATATCCTTTGGGTTGTGTCTTTTTTTTTTTTTTCAAATGGAACAGAGATGGATTGGCTATTTTAAACAAATGTCTAAGATTAAAAGTGGATATTATGTTTTAATTTTTTCAGAGTCTTTTTGTCATGCGTGGAGGCCCTTAAAAAGTTGACATTTTAACTTGTCATTGCCATATCTTATTACACTTTGAGGGTGGAAATACAGAATGCAGTCTCAAAATATGCAATAGCAGCATCCTAGTATAAGCAATTTAATATGGTGATTAGATTGAGGGAAAGATTAATCTAAAATTTTTTGTTAAAGAAAAGTTTGCAGCATAGGGATTACTACATTTCTGGTTGTGTTCATCTAGAAGATCTTGCCCTCACCATACATTGGAATAAGAAAAGCCAGATTTCTACTTTTTTAACTTTTTCTTTTTAAATAGTTGATTGAACTGAAAGATAATTTAGGAAGCATAAAGTAGTCCAGTTAAATATCTTGAAATGAAGAGTGCCTTCTTCTTTTCATCTACTAGACATCTACGAGACATCTATGAGAAAATTCTGGTCTCAAAACTTGGATTAGTGTTTAGCCCTGGTTCCAGAGGCTTTCCCAGCAACTCCCCCTTTCAGCTTTCGTTAGGACTTTAATAACAAAATGCTGGAACAGCATATTTTTACTTAAGCTGTTTTTAGTGAAGTGACTTGGACATACATTGTTAAATGCTAAATTTTACTTTATTTTTGGAATTTTTCAAGATCAATCACTAAACATCTTGCTCCTATTTTCCAAGTCTTCAATTTGTATTTTATATACAAAGACTCAGTACAGACTTTTTCTGTATGTAAAGTGGAGGAAGAGTTTATTGACTAGTCAGGAAAAATTGAAAGAATCTAATCTCTCGTTGTCTTGACTATGATTGTGGATTGTGTTTTTATTCTCAGCGTGCAAACTAATATTGCTGAAAGTTTAATTTTATGGATATGATCCATGTACCTGGAGAAATCTGAGTGGTTACAGGCAATTTTGTGGAGTAAACAGTTCATCACATTCTTAAAAGCTGCTTGCTCTTCTGCTGCTAATCAGCAGCGTTTAAAGACAGAATAGCTGAGTGTCAATTAGATTGCTGAAATGCCCTAAATTAACTCTTAATTTCCTTCAGTATACCAGGATTTAATGGCAGTGAAGACTGTGCAGCACTAGAGCAACTTTTAGAAGGATATGATCAGCAAGACCAGGATCAAGTTTCTGAAGTCTGTAATTTGCCGCTTTTCAAATACATGGACAATGATGTAAGTAGGCAGTTCCTATGGATTTTTTTTTTATAATCCTTTTGCTTTTTCAGGTTGAGGGAGATTTTTTTCCAGTAGAGGAAAAGAAGAACAGAGTCCACGTATTTATTTTGACTTGCTCTGTCATCCTACCCTGTGCCTGTGAAATTTGTGTATTCTTTTACTTTGTTACCTGCCAGTGTAAATTCCCACATCGTTGTTCCTTCTAGATGGTGGGAAGGCTTAAGTGAAAGGGCTGTTTGTTACAGATTTGCTGAGTTTTTGACTGCTTGACCTAAATTCAGTTCTCATGTGCTTGGTTCCTTAGAGGGCAGAACAGTTTCCTGCTTATGCTTTGTCTCAGGAATACCATATAGCTGATATGCACACACAAACATCACAGAGTAAGATGCCCACAGGATGGCATTGTTGAATGTTTTGGGTTTTTTTTTCAGCACTTATTCCTTAGCAAGGTACTAATTAGTGAAGGATTTTTTTATTT